GTTTTTCTGTTATAATATAGCCACCCGCAGGTCTGTCATTGAATGACCAGACAGGTCAAAGTGTTCTTCCACTGGTTTTTGAATAGCTAGCCGGCCAATTAGCCTCACTACAACCTACCCCTCCTGCTGTGATCTTGCTTAGAAAGCCTCAGCAGAGCTCTGTCCTCTTGGTCGCCCCTAGTCCCGTCAGCTTTCAAACACTTCCTCACTGGGCCTCATCGTGAAAGAGTCGCTAAGTCACATTTTGATTTACAACCTTTATTTTTTCTACTTATTTAGACAATGATTGAGGGGAGCCAGGAGTTTGTTCTGTAGTTAACAGATGTTTACAGATCCTTTCTCTGGAGCACCTAATTGGCTATGTTTGAATACACAGCAGGCTAAATATATTTTTAAAGGTTTAAAACAAAAAGAAAAATGAACCCAGCCTTCAGATAAATTATCTGCTATCTTTGAAAAGGAAGCAATCAGGTGGGTGGATAAAAGCATGACTATCTGTGGGGAGACAAACAAGAAATTCCAGGTTGGATGGGTGCTGAGGATGAGCAAAGGAATACACCATAGGGGTAAACACCAGGGAGGGAGCAGAGCTATTTAGCTAATGAACAATGTTTGCACAAGATCAAATGGGTAGAAATTGGCCATGAATAGAGTTGCTTGTAATGGGGGCAAAGAGGACAGGGCGGGGGGGGGGGCAGGAGTCCCTTCCAGTTTATATTTTATGTTTCTAAAATCTCATGCTTCAGGCCTTCAGCTGGTCACCTGCAGGGGTCAGGAAGGAGTTTTCTTCCCAGTACATTCTGATTGGGTTGGTGGTTGGTTTTGTTTTTTTGTCTATTTCCTCCAAAGCATCAGAGATGGCCACAGCTGAAGATGGGACACTGGATGGAGAGGACCAGGGCTCAGAGGTGGCACCAAGTGTTCTCTCAGGTGCTTGTCTGGCAGTTTCTTGCTCACATGCTCATGGTCTAACTGATTGCCATATTTGGGGCTCTGGAAGGAATTCCCTCCCACGCCTGATTGACAGATATGGGATTTTTTCACCTCTGGGTGTGGGTCAGTTGCTGAGACCATGAGGTATATCTCAATGTATCAGTTCCTGCCATTTCAGGGGCTTTGAGCATTGGTGCACTTCAGTCTCTTCTGTTCTCTGCCTGTGGCACATAATAGTCTCATCTCCTGTGGATTATAATATTTTGATTTGGTTGTTGGGGCCAATGTGGGGGTTCTGGGTTCTGTAGGAGGCATGAGATATACAGGAAGTCAGACGCTGATTTGGTGATCCCTTCAGTTTTAAAATCTATGACTATGACTATGATTCAAATATTCCCACTTTTTCAGTGCTTTCTGGCACATGCAGGCCCTGTTTTGTACCCAGTCACATCCAGCTTCATGTTTTCCAAACTACTATTAGTGCACCTGCCAACTCTAGCATTTTTCCTGGAACATTACTGCTTTCTGGCACTCTTTAGATGTGCTGGAAAAGGGAAAACCAATCTATTGCTTTCTCTGGGTTCAGTTCAAGTAGCATTTCTGTGTACTAAGAAAGAACTACAGCACTAAAACATGAATGGCCAGGGCTGGGCTTTTCAAAGGCACCTGAGGGCGTTAGATGCCAAAATCCCATTGAAGTTCAGTCCATGGAATGTACGCTACTTTTGCCAGAGGGGTTCCTCTGAGTTAAAAGGAAGCATTTAACTTATTGTGTTGATCTCACTTTATTCTAATATTACTTTGCATGAGCAGAAGAAGGTCAAATTGCAATACATTTAATGTTTCCTTTTAACCAAAGTATTTATGTCACTGTATATCCAGTGACAAAATCACTATCTATTCTTCGGATTTCTTCCAATATCCTTCATGAGAGTAAGCTAGTGGGGAAATATCTTTAATATTCATTGACAGATTATTTCTCTCATGCATACAACGTTTGGATGCCCTTTGGCATACATTATTAAGACTCCTGTAGAAGGCACTCCCTAGCTCCAAGATGTGACATAATTGTTTACAATAAACTAAAGGAACTGGTTTTACCACAGTAGATTAGTACATTGTCCAAAAAAAAATAAACCCCCAAAAACCCTAGTGGCAGTGATCCAATAAAAAGCTTCCAGCGCAAGAGAGTTAGTCACAAATTGTGACTCCCTATTCTGGGTCATAGCCGTAGAGTGCTTAGATGACCATATATTTCCAGTATGTCACCACACATTAATTCCAGATTGACACACCAGATGACCGAGTTGCCTCCAGGCTTTGGGAAGAAGTCTGCTCCCAGGTGCAGCATTCTGGACTCTCTCTGACTGGCAGAGGACTTGGTTCAGAGCAGCGCTATGTTACGCTAACCTGTGATAACACTGGTCCGAGAGTCAGGAGTCACAGTCAGCTGAGAATCTCTCAGTCACTCACACATGCGAATTCAATTTTGAGTGGAATTACTCCAGATTCTCAGTTGTGTCCCCGGCAGTGTAAGGTACTTCTAGGGAGATCATCATGGTCGCTTCTGAACACTGACGATAACACTTTGTGCTGTTCTGACACCTTGCGTATGAAGATCTCAACGACTACTCAAACTAATCTTAATAAATGAAGCTGCACTGCAGCCCTGTGAGAGAGGAAGTGTTACTGTCCCGTATTTACATATGGGAACTGAGGCACAGCTTGTTATTTTTGCAGTTTACTTTTAGTTCCTCCATCTCCAAACAGTTATTCCACCTTGTCAGTTACAGTGCTAAAGCTGCAGATCATGAGCCAGTAAAGGGCAAGCCACAATGCCACATAGTAATACCTCTGCGTCCTGCTTCTACTAGTATGCTGAGTAATTGCACTTTACCTTTGTTTAATTGCAAAAAAAATGATTTCTTCCCATTGCAGAGAACTCACATCTCTGAGCTCACCAGGCCTTCACTTCTGGACAACAAGGCTTTGGGAGTAACTTTTTCTGTTTAGCCCCAGATGGTATCACACTCCCCGTGTCCAAATAGGGTGACCAGATGTCCCAATTTTATAGGGACAGTCCCGATTTTGGGGTCTTTTTCTTATATAGGCACCTATTACCCCCCACCCCCTGTCCCGATTTTTCACATTTGCTGTCTGGTCGCCCTATGTCCAAATAATACAGTCCTAAAAAACAGTGACGCTGAATAACAGTGCGTATAACTGGTTCCCAGAATTAAACCAGGAAATAGGATCTATTCTTTTTGTTTGCAACTTAAATTATGAAGCAACTGCTTTAAGGGAGAAATTTAAGTTATCTTCATTTTAAAATGTCTTCATTTTTAACCTTTTCTTGGAGTGTGTGTCATGAACTTTTATTAGTTTTCTTAATGCAATTGAATAATAATAATGAATAATAGATAAAAGACTTTAGAAGAAATAGAAGAGATGGGAAGGGAACAGTTTGTTCTATGGTACAAAAGGCTTGGAAGGATTAGCTTTTTATCAGTAATTGTTGATAAAAATCAATTTCATCATACCCACACAAACCGAAAATAATATTTCCATCAGTAATCATCAAAATTTACAGATTGGCAAACAAGAAAAATACTGCTTGAGACCTTACTAGACTTTGATTTAAGGATTTTACTTTGTATATTTTTACTCGTAATTTTGATCATTTGTGTTTTAACGGTTATAAAGCTTTAACTTCTTGAATCTCAAAATCTACTGTCATTAAATAATTATTGTTTG